ACAATAAAAATGCTGTAGGTCGAAGTTATTTTACATATTAAAACAACAGTTGATCAAAGCCAGGAAATGAACCCTGGAACTGTAAAACTAAATGCTCTGAGGCGTCCGGACACTCATCAGGGGACCCACAGGAGCTAAAGGAGTTGTGTCAGTGCCAAAAATGGCTGGGGAACTGCGTGGAGATGCACTCAGTCTGCATCAATCACTGCATGTACAACCCTAGCTGCCCAGAACAAAGTGAAGAGATCAATTAATTCAGGATGAAAAGGGGAAGATTAGAAGCCCTGCAGAGCGAGGCTAGGGTTTTCTGGCTGGGAAAGGCTCCAGAAAACTCACTCTAAAACATATTCCTAGAAGACAAATTCCTAGCCAAGATGACAGCTTGGCACCTGCCCTACCTGAGGACATGTTTTTCCCCAAGCGATTCCTTGAAGTAAGAGGCAGATAATCAGGAAGTTGGGAAACAGCCCTTCAGTCGTTGAGACATTTACGATATTTGGGAATTCACAGTTACAGGTACACAGTAAACCTGAAAATGCTGCCCAGGTCACATGCTCACAATCCAATCACAAAGCAATCTCTCTAGATCCTTTCTTTGATCATCAATAAAACATGATCCTTAGGGTGAAAAAGAAGTAACATAGCAAACAAACTGCAAGCTATAATTTTTATTTAGCGTCATAAAATTTATCTGCTTGTTCTCAGAGCAGGTTTATCTGCTCATTCTCGGAGCGTCTAAAGGTGGCTCCTGGAGCTCAACTCTCCCTCCCGTACCCGAAGTAATCGGAATAGCCAATCAATCCAGCCAAGAGGCCACAGAAAAGTAAAATAAATGGATGCTGAATAATCGTACCATCAATAACTTGGTACAGAACTACGTTTAATTGCATTTTTTCTTTTCTTCCTTTTTTGCTTTAAGAACCCAATTCAGGGGCACCTGGGTAGCTCAGTCGCTCAAGCATCCAACTTCAGCTCAGGTCATGATCTCATGGCTTGTGAGTTCGAGCCCCGTGTCGGGCTCTGTGCTGATAGCTCAGAGCCTGGAGCCTCCTTCGGTTTCTCTCTCCCTCCCTCTCTCTCTCAAATAAATAAGCATTAAAAAAAAAAAAAAAAAAAAAAAAAAAAGAACCCAATTCAGATTCAATGACCGTGTAAGCACTCCCCATGCTACTGAGTGTGAGGCACTCTGAGAGACCCTTTCACATCCATTATCTGACTGGATGTAGGACCAAAATATGTGTGTTTGCTTCAGGGTGCTGTCACTTAATCACGTGGCCTTGCGTAAGCTTGTCAAAAGGATGCCTCAAAAGTTTAACAAACTTGACCTCGGTGAAAAAACTATGTGGCAGAGCCAGGATTCAAACTGCAGCCTTCTCGTTGTAGTCTGGTGTTTTTTCTATTATACCAGCATGGGCCCAAAATACTTAGCTACTGGGGAGAACTCAAAACTACTTCTCTCAAGATACTAACTGCACCATATGGCTACTGATAAATGTAATGAAAAGAAAACAAACAGCCGGATAAACTTAGCTTGAAAGGCAGGGATGAGGGACAGCCAAGGCAAGACTTAAAACACAGCAGCCAAGCAGCAGTGCTGGACCTCAACACAGGTCTCCGTAACGAATGGTCCCACAGTCCCTCTGGGAGTGAATTTCGTTTGGGGAAGGAAATACTCAGCTTACAGAAAACAGGCTGCAGAGGCATTCTGTCTCCCTTCTGATTCTTGAGGGCTAGAGGACAAAGCGCTCCCTCCCCCTTTATCACCTGACCCTCACACCAGCTTGAAAGAGAGAAAGCACTGCAGCACTCTCCTCCTTAGGGAATGCCATGGCAGGAGCCGCCTCAGAATTACGGGTCCCAGGAACCCACCGAGCTGAGCACTATGATCTTTGACAAGAAGGGTGCTAAGCACTAACGCTATCAGTCTTTTTCTTTCTTTTTTTTCTCTTCCATGTTTGCCACTACATTCATCTGACCCTTTTTCACGTGCCTACGGACTATTTTGTCTCTTTCAAAACTGAATTTATTTTTTATTTTTCCAAATGTTTATTTATTTTTGAGAGAAAGAGAGACAGAGTGTGAGCAGAGGAAGGACAGAGAGAGAAGGACACACAGAATCCAAAGCAGGCTCCAGGCTCTGAACTGTTAGCATAGAGCCTGATGCAGGGCTCAAACTCACAAGTGGTGAGATCATGACCTGAGCAAAGTCAGATGCTTAACCGACTAAGCCACGCAGGCCCCCCAAAGCTGAATTTATTTTTGGCAGAACTGCTTTATATCTATAGAGGAAGAAAAATTCTTCCTGTGGATAAATGGGCAGGAAATAAGTGGAAGAAAAAACTAAAGGTTAATCTCCCCAGCCCACACTGTATTTTAAAATTAATCTAGTTTTGTTAAAATGAAAGAGAACAATAAAGATTCCTGGGGGAGAAATCTGCTTTTATGGGAGAAGATCTTACAGGAAGCGCTCTGTTGCTGAGAGCCTGGCCAGATTACTAAGTAGTAACAGTAAGAACCATACAGATGAGCTCAAATGTCAGACAAATGTAGTTTGTCTGCAATACAGATGCAGACAAACATCAAGCCAGCCACAAGTATTTACTAAGCACCTACTAGGCCAGATCATTCAATAACTGTGTGACCACTACGATCCGCAATCTTTGGGGAAAAAAATCCAATTGTCAGGTTATACACAGAGGTTCTATTTGAAGCTAACAAAATCAAATTTGAGACGACAGCTAGAATGGAACCACTTAATGACCACTTCAAAGAAAATACCACAGGAAGAAAAGACTAGTCCATAAGGGTTCTGGTCACATACACAGTGAAAAGAAGATAAGGAATTACCAGTAGCATTCCAGCCCTTTGGTGGCCAGGGAAGGGGCAGTGACTACACAATTACATATCTCCAGAAAGTATATGACTGGAAACCCAGTAAAAGTAGGTTTACTAGGTCCAGGTGGAATTACGTGTGACAACTGGTTCTTCTAAAAAGGGTAAAACAGTATAAAATGATTCCACAAATCTGAATAGCCGCTAATATTCAAATATGTTCATTTCAAGTAAATCTATCAAAACACATTGAATAACCACTGTTATGTGTCTCACATATTTATTTATTAATGTTTGTTTATTTTTGAGAGAGAAAGAGCGTGAGCAGGGGAGGGGGCAGAGAGAGAGGGAGACACAGAATCTTAAGCATGTCCAGGCTCCAGGCTCCAGGCTCCAAGCTGTCAGCACAGAACCCAGGGTGGGGCTCAAACTCACAAGCCGGGAAATCATGACCTGACCCGGAGTCAGACACTCAACTGACTGAGCCACCCAGTCGCCCTGTCACATCTTTATTTAACTTTAACTCTACGTTTTTTAAAATCATTTACCTCAACCAATGACACAAGATGAAAATAGGAGGGGAGAAGCATATATATCAAGATAAGAAAGTATTTCAAGATCAAGCCACTTGTCTTCACTAACAATTTAATGGTTCCATCCATCTATCCAAACTTCCATTAACTTGCTTCATTCAGTGTTCGAGTTTAAGACTGCAAAGTCACTGCCACAAAGACACAAAAGGCTTCTGGGAACTTTGGAAGACGTTGATAAAACACCAGGGAAATTCTCTAAATGTATCTAAAGTCTTGTAAAAAGCCAAATCTAACCATATTCGCTCCTTCCCCTAGAGCAGGGATTGGCCAATCTGGCCCAATGCCCGTTTTTTATACAGTTGCAGAACAAACAATAGCTTTTACATTTTTAAATGGCTAAAAAAGAAATCAAAAGAAGAATAATATCTCCTGACGTGGAAATTAAATGAAATTCAAATGTCAGCGTCCATAGTTACTGGTGCACAGCACCTCATTTATTTACTTGTTGCCTATGACTTTTGCCCTACAATGGCTGAGCTGAGTAGCTGCAAAGGAGATCATAGGAAAGATATTCTGGCCCAAAACAATGACCCAAACCTGCCCTAAAAGTTGCTACTAATTCGCCTTGAAATAACTGGCTTTAGCTATATAGCTTTGCACAGGAGACTCCAGATGGTTTCACTGAACGCCATTTGAGCAACATAATGGAGAAATTATTGGATCTCATTATAGCTCAGTTAAAAGCAAGTAAATCCCTATGACTTTTTTTTTCTATTTTTAACAAAGAAAGTAGTCTTTCACCACTTTATTCTTTCTGGTTGGGAAAGAATTACAAAACTATTACTTGTCTTACTTCCTCTACTACTTAAGAAGCCCACAGTCTTCCACATACATGCGAAATATACCAGGATGAAGATGTGTGTGTGTGTGTGTGTGTGTGTGTGTACGCACGCATATATCACCTTTTCCTGAAAGGGACAGAAAACGCCAGAAAGTGCAAAGTAGGGGCTTATGGTCACTCTTTGGCATAATTACCTAAGACTATCTGCAATGTTACCTCCTTCCTCAGAATAAAATCTTCAATATATTCTCCCTAACGCCAAGCTTTCTGGTAGGAAATTTTTCATACATACAAAAAATTCAAAGAATAAACAGGTTGCTAAAACTTCCTATAAACCTTGCTTAGACTCTCAAGCCATGCTGCCATATTTGTTTCACCCATCTCTCCACCTTTTCTAGTGGAAGTAACTGATTCTTGAGAAAATAATCTGCAGACCATCGTAACACGTCACCCTAAGAACTTCAGCAACCAGTGCCAGGATACTAATTTTCAATACCAGCATACTAGCAAGGACACAAAGATACAAAACTACAGAGAGGGCGTAAAAAGTTTTTTTCTTATATTGGTTTCTTTTCTCCCACACAGATTAGTGAAGGTACAGGTAACCTCTGAAATCCCGATCACCCACAAAGTTAACACTGGAGTGAGTGGTGGTGTACTAACTTGTACTGAGACACAAGAGTAGTCTGATAAACATCATGATTATCAAAAGAGACCCGGATGGCTTAGGCTGCTCGACCCGCCATGCTCGACGGCCGCTCCTTCACAGCAAAGACCATGTCTCTGGCGCTCACCTGAGGGCAGCAGCATGATACGTGTCGACGTAGTCAGAAATGAAGAGCTCTCGGTTCTTGATGACCGGGTCTGTAATGACAAGTTCTCTTCCAGAGTCTGTCAAAAAAATTAATTGAGAGGATATTAAAATTGAGCCTCCCAAAACATTTAGGAAAATTTTTGCTAGATTTTTCTTTCAGGTTCACCTCCCACTAAAGAAAGTACAATAAATAACCAGGTCTGGTCAGGAGGAATAATGTATGGCAGGCATAACAGGAAACAAGTATCTTGCTGGATGTGTTTTACACCCTTATTAAATCCCCACAGTTTGCTGAAATGCATTGAGCAATTAATGAAAAAACAAAGAAAAAAACAGAAGAAACAATGATCACATTTTAGCAAACGTGTAAATTACTGACATAATTAACGATCCTGTTTAATTTCTTATTGCTAAATATTCCAGGATGGAGTGAAATTGCACTGTTTCTGTAGAAAAAAATAACCAAGTTACTATTTTTAACCAGGAACCATAATTTAACTGCCTTAACAGAAATGCTTATAGTTTTCAAAGAAGAAAAGCCTAATGAGTTACGAAAGAGCATCATTCCTCAAAACTGTCTGGCTATGCTTTGTTGACTCAGAAGCAGTGCGGACGAGTGGGAAGGAAGAGTAGAGGCAGCTGGATCCCAGCCTGGCCAGGCCCGCTGAGAAGACATGTCGCCTTGGCAACTCCTCGAGCATCTCATGTGCCTCGATTTCCTCATCTGAAAGTGGGGAGTGACAAATTCTAACTCATATGAGTAAGGGTGACAAATGTGGATCAGTTAAGCGTGAGGCCCAACACTTGAAAGATCAGTAAAAATGCATGTTTATACACATCTGAACAAACGCAATACACATTTTATGTGCACATCTCACATGTCAACAAAGTTACTGGGTAGAAACTACAATGCCAGAGCAAGAAAAACTAAGAATCTCTGAACTACCTTCCTGATTATTCTGAAAGTTAAGACGCAAACTAAATTGCAAACCCTTCAGGAAAGCTATGCTTTCAAAACTGAAGTTCACAGCCCTGGATGCAGAGAAGTTCAATCATAGAGATTATTGAAAAGGAGAAAAGAAATAAAACGGAATCATGATGTTTTCGGTATTATTAGCTCATCATTAGGGGAGAAAAAGGAATTTTAGAAATGGAATTACTGTTATTTCCAAAGAAGAGCTATCTCTAGTCCAAGTTTAAGGGGAAGATGTTATTGGCACATCTCTCTGGTTGTTTGGGGGTTTTTTTAAGGCAAAAATAATGAACGAACTCAGCAAAACTAACTAAATAAATAAATAAACATTCCGGTAATGCTCTCAGTTATGAAAAGCTTTTTTAGAGAAAGTTTTTCATAGTGGTTATCTCCATTTAATGAATGTTTTAAGAAATAACCTTGTCCAAAGCTAGAAAACGTAAGAATCAAACCAGAAGGACTTATTTACCATTTTCGTTATGCCGATCCTGAACCAAATGCTGGTACACAGAATCTGGAACTTCAGACTGACGGTAGTACCATTTGACGTTCATGAGTAGATGGTCCCTCTTACTCTGAAAAGGAAAATCTAACAGCATTAGGAACAGGATTTCGGGTGCCCACAGCTGTATACCATACCCATGATCAAAAGCCCCTGTAAACAGGTGGAGAGGCAGAGAGGGAGACTCACAATTACCACAGGGCCACAAAAATACAGAAGTCAATGATAAGGTCAAACTTATTTTTAATCCCAGCCTTAGCATCCCTCTGACCCTACTGCTCAAAACCTTAATCCAGGAAACCAAAGGAGACCAAACTTGAACCTATAAATCTCCCCCCAGCTTGATTAATTCAATGAATAGTATAGTTTTATTTAGCATTAACTATACAAAACTACACGAATACATCTTTCTTCTATCTTAATTCTTCAACATTTTGGTAAGTATTTATAAACTGCATTAGCACAGTGTCAAGGCCTTTAAAGGCAGTAAGTTAGAAAAACCTTACCGTGCAAGGCCTGGCACAAAGTCATGTCTCCAAGGTGTGCCAATCACCCAGACTAATTACATCCCCATCCACGTTATTGATACAAGGCAAACTAATACAGCAAACTATGGGTGGTGGTGAAGGTACCAGGAGTCCATGGAGCAGGGACCCTACCTTAATTGTCTTCCAATTTCCAGAGAACAGAACTTGGACATAAATATTTGTGAATAATAATGAGTTCTATGATGATCAGGGGCCCCTAAATGTTCGTGGGACACTGAAACATGTTAGCCCAGAAGTCAACTTTGTTCCTGGTTATGCTTCCATTCAAAGCATAAAGGATGAAACACTGCCCTTCTATTTGAAGGCTATGGGGCCACGGCCTGAGGGAGACTGTCTTGGTACACCTTGGTCGTGAGACCTCTGAACATGGCAGTGCACCAAGGCTTCCCATGGCCTCATAAAGTAATTCCTAACCCAGGTGGGGGCTTAAGAGACCTCCCCAAGATAAATGCTGCTGTATCATTCCCCTTAGCAACGTCTACCTTCCCATCACAAGTCAGCAGGTGAGTCAGAAATGAAAGAGAGCTAAAATTTGAGACATGCTTCATGTTTATGAAGGAGATGACTAAGTCCTAAAATATGTCAAAGGAGCCTCTTTAATGAAGCAAGCTGCTTTCTGCTTAAATAAGAGGTATGTATATAGTCTTCACTAAATGGCCAGAAAGGCAAAACAACAACAAAAACAACAAAAAACCTTTACTGAAAAATACTAAAGCTATTTAAATGACCAGAAAGAAAAGCACTGTCAAAGTCTTGATGAACTTGAATGCGAAGAAGCACTATTCCAAAGTAAGTATCATAAACACCAAGATCCGTACTGTATAATTAACTGTGTCAAATAGGCCTACAAAAATAGGGCATCACTACTGATTTGAAAAAAAGAGACTGTATAGAAAGAATAACCCTACATAATGGGTACTTTTCAGTTTTTATCCATTTTTCACTTTTACATTCTATACTGTTTATACGAAAGGTGGGAAAATGAGGACGAATCAGTATGTTGCATAAAAAGAGTAAATGTTACATACACGAGTTTATCCTCAAGAGCAATTACTCCCTGCGGAGGATTGTGGAGGAGGTAACATCTGACCTGGGGGAACAGTGGGAAAGACCTCAATGGATTCTTTCCAGGCAAAGGAGGAGATCTGGGGAAGACACCAAGCCAGAGACAAGACAGAACAAGTACAGGATGCACCCCCACGGCCCACATGCACGCAGCACAGGAGAACCTCCTGCATGGTCCTGAGGGAACTCGGATTCTGACTTCAACGTGGCCTTTAAGTGGGTTTCTCTCTGGACAAGCGAGGTCCTCTATCTGCCTTGCTGACCAAGCACACAGGCAGTGAGGGACAACACACCAGGTCACGAGAGAGCAGCCAGGAGACCAGTTTCCTCCCGGGGCCCAGCCATAAACAGCAGGGCCAGGATGAGGGCATCTTCACAGAAAGAGACGAAGCAGGGGAGGGGTGGAGCCTGTCTGCAGCTACTCAAGGATAAACTCGGGGTAATGCACTGCCTAATGCAGGGGTTCTCACCCTCAGCATTCCTGACATTTGGTCCAGGGAAGTCTGGCATGGGTGCCTGTCCTGCACACTGCCGGATACTGAGCGGCGCCCCTGGCCTCCAAACACTAAATGCCAGTGGCACCCCCTCCCCCTCATCGTAATGAGCAAAAAAATGTCTCCACACGTTGCCAAATGTCCCCTGAGGGGACAATATTACCCCCCAGTGGAAAACCAATGGTCTAAGAGTGTCCTTTTTATGGAAAGTTAAACTGGAACGATGACCAAAACAACCCCGGTTTAAGCACTACCAGGTGGGGAACATGGAATGTAAATACGAACACAGTAAATACGAACCTGTCACCATTGGGTTCAAACTGCATCTCCACCAGTTCCTAGCTATATGACTCTGGGCGTGTTAATCATATTCTGAGTCTCCCCTTTTCTGCAAAACGGGAACACTGAAACCTACCCAACGGACTATCGAAAGAATGAGAGGAACGGAAACGCGCTGGAACTGAGTAGGCGCTCAAGAGAGCAACGGTTTCTGTTGGTAGCTGATGCTCACCAGAGCTTCACAGAAAGATTTCAAGAACTCTGCTGAGAACCGTAGGAGCTATTTCTTCACCAGAATGTGGTTTCCTTCACCAGATGACAGTGCTCTCCAGTCCTTGAGCTACTAAGGGATGCCTCAATGCTCACAGTAATGAACTACTTAACGGGGCTCAAAGGAATTCAGATCTACCGGCAGTCTGAGCAACTATGTTCTGAAATCTATGCTTCTACGCATTTCTTTAACACATCTGAGATGTCTGAAAACCAGAAGGGCACCCGAAGTAAGCTTTCAAAGGTACCAGAACTGGCAATCATACAATGTCTATTTTTCAGAACACCAAGCCAGTGATTCTGGGGACCTTTCGAGGTATAATATCTATATTAAATTCTGACCCTGGCACACTTAATGGCCACACGCACGCACGCACATACATACACACACGCGCACACGCACACACACTCTCTCTCTCTCTCTCTCTCTCTCTCTGTCTCTCTCTGTCTCTCTCTCTCTCTCTGTCTTACTGCTCTGGTATATTTGTGCCTAGATTTACGACTCCTAATAAGAGACCTTACAAAGGCAGCCGAAACCCTGCTGGATTTCATAATGCAGTACTATCTAATAACCAGGGAGTGGCAGCATTGTGTCAAAAAAAAAAAAAAAAGGCCTCCGAATCTTAATTCTGGATACAACACAACAAAAGGTAGATTCACAGTTAACAAAAGGTCTGAACAAATGTAAGTAGCTCTAATAGACATAATCGTCCTAAATAGGCCGGAAAGTTAACAATCAAACATCCAGAGGGAAGCAGTATGTCGTTTCAGAGGGTACTAGACTAAAATTAAGTAATCGAGCCTTCTAGTCCTGTCTGCAATCACTTAGTCAGCTGGGGGCAACCTTAGCGAGTCACCTGGCATCTGACAAGTGAGGGGAGGGAATGAGATGATTTCTAGGGTCGCATTCCATTTTATACACTTACATCTAGGTTTTGTCCCCAGACAAAACCAGTAGATAAATAAGCCGCATTGGGAGAGTCCCTCCTGTCTTCTCTACATCAACATAATGGCATCCACTAACAGTACCCTACTAAAGAGGTTTTTACAAATTAAAATGCCATCTTCTCCAGAAGTGACTGAGCACTGAGGAACAGCAAAAGGGAACGGAGCGCACCCCTTCGACCAGTCAGTGCTCCCAATGCCACTCACACACACAGGTGCGTGCGGCTCAAACATTAACCATGGGAAATCTGCACGTTCTTCCCACCGTTCACTAGAAAAAGACTTCTGCTCAGAATCACAGAAAACTAAAAGCAAAAGTCAACTTAGAGATCGTCTGATTTAGCCCGAATCACCGAGGTCTGAATCAGGGCTCGCAACTTACTTGGGCAAATGACCTCTCCAAGCCTCAATTCTGTGGCACAGGACACGGGACACGATGGGAAACTCCACCACCGGTACACCGCACCCGGCTGTGAGGAGCAAACAAACGGGCAAGAGGAGCAGGACTGGCTCTCAATAAATGTTGGGCGGGGGGCTCCCAGGGAGCTCCATGGGCGAAGCATCCGACTCTTGGCTTCCGCTCAGGTCGCGATCTCACGGTTTGTGAGATTGAGCCCTGCGTCAGGCTCTGTGCTGACACTCTCTCTCAAAAATAAACTTGGAAAAAATAAAAAATAACAAACGTTGGGTGTTACTACCAGTGTTTTACAGATGAAGATAGGAGTCAAGCTATAAGAGGTCACTTATATATGTTGTTTTTCTCAGATTCAAAATTAAGCTAGTAATAGCAATACAAAAATAAATCATGTGGCAAATTAGGAGGGAAGAATCTCTACTTTTGCAACAATCTGAGAGGCATATCAAGTATTTCTAACAAATAGGCCTCATTACCAACTAGTGATATAATTGTACAATTCCACAAAGGTCAAAGTGGTTATAAATGACACATTTTACACAGAATGCTGAGTAAAGAGGGATGTGGGGAGATTTTGGTGCCCCTGTGAAGGCACCCTGGGGTGTATTTCTGAATGCAGAGAAGAGCTCACTGGGAAGTAAATTATTTCCCACCATTTTATCTTTAGAGTGAGATTTGCCTGCCTGCCTGCCTGACTGCAGGTTATAGGAAGTACCAGCCCTAAGGAAAAAATACCACCCAGGAGCAGCGCACCCAACATGCTCACAGTGAGGTTTCAAGGAGGGACTGTGCACACGAGGAGAGTAGCTGATTCTGGGTTAAATTATGGATTCTTCCACATCACTGGCCTGGATTTCTCTGAAGGGACGGATGTATGTAAATTTAAGGAAATAGTTTAACTGAGGACAAAACCCATCCCCACCTGGGTTTGGAAAAAAGACCAACAGCCTCGTGGGTGTTTGGGAGCAGAACAGGGGCCTTTCTAGAGCTACGAATGTCAGACAACGGACTGAGGGTTAATGAACTACAAAGTCAGAACTGAAGTAAAACACTCAGA